AAGCGAAGAAGCCCATGGCAGTGTCTAGACCACGACCAGGCCCTTGATAAAGTGGGTGCCTCTTCTGCAGAGGCCTTGGTAATTGATATATTATGTGAAACTTCCCAGCCACGGGGTTCAATACATTGTGACGATCCACCCTGAAAACATCTAATAACTCTTGTTAATAATGTTGACATTATTAATGTTAATAGTCTCAAAAAAGACCTTCCCCAATGAGACAAAGAACTTAGAAGTAACAGAGATTTTAAATTTAATACATTAAAAATGTTAAGATGCCATAAAAAGAGATAAGAGACAAGCAGATTCAGAGAAAGTCTTTCATTTTATATTATACACACACACACACACACACACACATAAACAAAGAGTTAATATAACACCATATAAGAGGTCCTAGAAATCAGAAGAAAGACAAATATTACAGCAGAAAAAATAGACAAGGATAATTTGTGGTAAAAATAGAGATGACCCCTGGCTAGTATGGCTCAGTTGGTTGGAATGTCGCTCTGTACACTGAAAAGTCACAGGTTCAATTGCCAGTCAGGGAGCCCAGAAGAAGCAACCAATCAATATTTCTCTCTTTCTCTTTCTCTCCTCTCTTTCCTCCTTCTCTCTCTCTCTCTCTCTCCCTCTCCCCCTTCCTCTCTCTCTAAAAGCATTCAAAAAATGTCCTCAGGTAAGGATAAAAATATATATATACAGATGGCGCCCTGGCTGCTCTGGGTCAGTGGATTGAGAGTCAGCCTGCAAACCAAAAGGTCCCAGGTTTGATTCCCAGTCAGGGCACTTGCCTGGGGTGCAGGCCAGGTCCCTAGTTGGGGGCATGCGAGAGGCAACCAATCAATGTTTCATACATCAATGTTTCTCTCCCTCTCTTTCTCCTTTCCTTCCCCTCTGTCTAAGAACAAAGTAAAAATCTTAAAAAAAGTACAGGTGGCAAATTAACATACAAACAAACTTACTTGTAATCACAGTAATGTAAATTAAAACAAGGGGGAAACAAACAAGCAATAAATAAATAAAACAAAGGGAAACTTTTAATTCACTAGACTGGATCAGGGGAGACAGGGTCTGATATTGGCAAGAGCGTGCAGAAGGAGGCGCTAATGTGCTGGGAGGTGAGAGGGTAAACTGGCGGCGTTCTTCCTGAGCCCTAACTGTCAGCATCTACCACCATGTGAAACATGCATGCCCATTAAAACCAATTATTCTACTTCTAGGTAACTATCAAGGTATGCGCATGAAACGTTCACTGAAACATCGCAGGAGAAAAGAAAGTTAGAATGGCTACATCGCAGTCGAGTCTCTCATGGTTCACCCATACTGTGGGAAAGCATGAGCTAATATAAAACTGAGGCCGTTCCATAGACGCTGACATGGGAAAGTCCCTGAGACCTCTCGTTATTCGAGCAAAAGCAAATCGCAGAGACATCTCTATAGTGTGATCACATTTATATTTTCAAAAATAAATAGCAGTCATGTGTGGACACATATTTGTCCCCAAAGACAGGTTCTGAATGCACTGGGAAAGGACGGGGGAACACACCTCATGCCGTCCACAGCAGCTGTCTTCAGGGAGGGAAGTAGGGACTGACTCCAGGTGACTGAGAAGAGATGAACCCTCTCATGTCCAAGTTCCCATTTCACTCTGCAATCTTTTATATTGCTTGAATTTCTTTCCATGAGCTTATATTACTTGAATTTGAAAAACAATAAAGAAGGGAAAAAAACACCCTGTTCTTCCGAACCACTGACAGCAGGACCCCTGCTCTAAGCGTGCTCCTCTCCACCTGGACCGCCGGCGAGCTTCCTAGCCAGTCTCCCTGTTCAGGCTGCTCTAACACCCACGTCCCATGGAAGGAGCATCGCCCCGTAAACTGAAAGGTTGCCGGTGTGGTCCTGGCCCCAGTCGAGGCGCATACATGGAGGCAACTGATTTTTCCCTCCCTCCCTTCTTCTCTCTCCCCCTCATGGCATCAATAAAAAATAAATTAAAATAATTTTAAAAAAAGAACACGAATTGATTTCTCACAGTTCTGGGGGACGGGAAGTCTGATTGAGCCCTAAAAGTTCTGCCATCTAGGACCTAAAACAGCGTTAAAATCAGTTCACAGTCTGTATGTAAAAAGTGGATGGTCCTGCCCTGTTTGCTGCACCAATTTCTAATGAAAGATCCCTCTGTTTACAAGAAGCACGACGTGCCTGCCCAGCCACGGCTCCGGAGTTGACAGCTGTGGCCTCGGTCCCGAGATTCCTGCCATGTGCGGAGTGGAGTGGTCTGTCAGCTCTGAAGAGGCCTGGCGCAAAGTGACCATTAGCTCTGTGGCCAAAGCCATTATTTACAATTCTTAGAAATGTAAAAAACAAGGAAGAAAGAAGAAGATAAAAAATAAAGACAGTCTATCACCTTATCTTCTTTTCTCTAGGCCAGCGATTTTCAACCTTTTTCATCTCACAGCACCCATAAACTAATTACTAAAATTCTACCGCACACCAAAAAAATAAGTATATATATATATTGCTGATCAGACAAAAAAAACATAGGTAGAATTTTGATTCATTCACACCAGATAGCTAGTGTTGTGTCGGCTGTTGTCACTTTTTTTTACTTGACAATCTAAGGGAAAAGAGGTTAGTGCCCCGACTAAATAGTCAGGTATTATATGTTAAAAGATTTGTGTGACCCTGACTGCTGTGGCTTACGGGGTTGGTCAGAGTCCTGCAAACCAAAAGGCCCCCTGTTAGATCCCCAGGGCACATGCCTGGGTTGTGGGCCAGGTCCCCAGTTGGGGACGTGCAAGAGGCAACTGATCCATGCTTCTTTCACACGTTGATGTTTTTCTCCCTCTCTTTCTCCCTCCCTTCCCTGCCCTCTAATAATAAATATTAAACAAATAAATGAAATATTAATAATAATAAATTCTTGCAGCACGCCAGCTGAAAATCACTGCTCAGGGCTCCTGAGCATGGCTAACTTCTCCCAAAAGATAATCTGAAGAATTTGAAAAATCTGCCTCCACTAAACACAGCTGTCTCTCCCTCAATTCTCTGCCAACACAAAGTCTCCTCTCACATGGAAGGAGTTACAGGAAAGGAAACATGATAAAAACTGTCTTCTTGACTTCCCAAATGTGGATAAGAAGTAGGAGACACCAGCAAGGTTGCTTGAAAACAGAGGTTCTCGGCCTTGGCTTCACATCGCAATCACCGTGGGAGCTGAAACAATAGGGAGCCTGCATTCCATCCCCCAAGATTCTGGTTTAATTGGAATTGATGGGTCTGGGGCATGAAAAAAAATTAAGCTCCCAGATGACTGTAATTTGTAACCAGAGTTGAGAACCCTGCCATGGTTTGGCATAGGGGCCCAAAGGCCCAAATGCCCACACACTTGATACTAAACACGTTCTCCCAAGGAGATGACTGGCCACTGACAAGAAACAAGTATCAGTTTGAGAGAAGCGTTTTAGGAAAAGTCTAGGTAAGATAATTAATCCTCGAGTTATGGCTTTAGTGCAGTAACAAAATATCTCTAAATTCACAAGAGATATGAAACTGAGTTAGAGGAACCTAATCATTTTTAACACAAAGGACAAATCAAAGGAAAAACCAAATGTGTGAGCTCAACCAAGTGAGCTCAATGGGAAAGTTCCTGCTCTAAACTCGGAAAAGTTTGCTTTTGCTTTTTTGAATGAAAAAAAGCTGTTAGGAGCAGTGGGTCACATGTCATTCTTTTTTCCCAGAATTGAAAAGAATCCATAATAAATACTCATTATGTCATACTGTGGTCACAGAATGTTTATTCCACAGTGGCTCTTGAGAGAATGGAATTAAAATCAATACAGTATTGATTTTAGTCTTGTGAAAGATGTCCCCAAATGTTGGTATATGACTTCTAAACCCCAGAGCTATTAAAACAATGGAGTGCCCCCTCCTTCTTTGGAGACAAGGGCAACTCAAGGTTACCGATGACCCCTCCTCTGACCCACTTCCCACAGCGTGACAGAAAGAGCTTTTAAAGTGCGGCTCTGACCCAGGTGCTCCTCTGCTGCATGTCCCTTTTCAGTTCTCCATTGCATCCCCTCAAGGCCTCCGTTTCCCTTCCGCAGCCTCCGTCTCCCCACAGCCGTCCCACCACCCCGTGCTCCAGCTGGCCGTGCTCCCCAGGGGGCCCTGCTGGGTCACACCTCGAGCCTTTGTCTGCCCAGCTCCCGCTACTGGGGTGGCCACTTCCACGTGCCCCGGTTTTCCTAGGTCTAGAAAACTCATCACATCCTTGAAGGTTCAGTTCAAAGGCACTTCAGCTATGAAGCTTTTAGAAGATGTGGTACATATACACGATGGAATATTACTTGGTCATAAAAAAGGAAGAAATCTTACCATTTGTGACAGCATAGATGAACCAAGAGGGTATTATGCTAATGAAATAAGCCAGACAAATATTATATGACTTCACTTATTTTAAAAAAACAAAATAAATGAGCAAACAAAGCAGAAACAAACTTATAGACACAGAACAAATGGATGGTTGCCAGATGGAAGGGTGTTGGGTAAAAAGGTGAAGGGATTAAGAAGTACAAACTAACAGTTACAAAAGAGTCATGGGAGTGTAAAGTACAGCATAAGGGATATAGTTAATAATGTAAAAACGATGTACCATGCCAGGTGGGTTTTAGACTTGTTGGGGGCAATCACTTTGTAAGTTATATAAATATCTAACCACTATGCTGTATGCCTCACACTAATATGATATTAAATGCCAACTGCAATTGAAAAAATAAAAAAGTTATGAAGGTTTTCCTGACCCATCCATAAAGTGACAACTCCCTCCTTTGTCCAACCCACAATGTGCACCTCACACTTAATCACATTTACATGTTTACCTAAGTTTCCCATCTAGATTCTGAGCTTTTTGAAGGCATAGATGGCATTTTATCCATTTACACACCCAACACCTAAAAGACAGATTGATATAAAGTAAATTTGCTACTAGGTTTATTTTATGAATTGTATTTACCGGAATGTATTAAATAAATTAATTTAATTCTCCATAAATTAACCCCCCTCTCCTCTTCCCCCTCTCTCCCAACACAAACATATACACACCACGAAGGAGGAAAGGGAGGGCCAAGAATGGGCCGCAGTGGAACGCCTCTTGTAATAGTTCCTTGATCAGTTAGTGTGACTTACCATCAACCTTCTGTGCCCAGTGGCTGAAGGCAGAAGCGAGGGGCTGTTTTCCTGGTGTGCAAAGTCTAAGCAAGAGCTATGCCGAGAACTGGAGCTTCCTGAGTCGCTGTGAAGCTGTCCTTTTTCAGACAGCAATCTGGACAGAAAGCTGGCCTTGCGGCCGCCCGAGCGAGATCTATCTGTCCAGACCCCACTCTCTCTCACGCTGCCATCGCTGTCTCTGCAGTGACTGTGCGAATCTGTGAGAGGCTCCCTTGAGAGCTGCAAGTCCTGGGGGGGGGGGGGCTCCCAGGTTCCTATTGCGTAGGATGGAGAGAGCCTAGGAGCTGTCGTTGCACCTAGCCAGGGCTGGGACATTGTGTGCTCTGCGCCTAAGGAGGCATGGTCCGGTTGCTGTCCCGGGTGCTGATTTCTAACACAGTCATCCCAGGGCCATGGGCTGTGGGCGTGGAGCTGTCCGCTGTGCTGATCCTTCTCGGCCCAGTCATTTTTACTACCGCCAGTGTCTACCTCAAGCTGCCTGGGCTGTGGGATTGGCCACAAGCTTTTGGACTTCGGCACAGTCACTTGGATGACTTGTTTCTGATTATTGGCTTGGAGTAGAGAAATTCTTTCAGGCAAGGGGGAGCAAATCATACACTGCTGGGGCACTGAATATTTTTTCAAATGAAATGAAGGGCCCCTTTCATCCTCAATGTCATTATTGCCTGACTTGTCATAAAGTGCCCTCATGATTCTCCTGGTTCCCAGATGGAATATTTCTAGTACATTAAGGAACAAAGAGATGGCTGCAATACTGTGCATAAAGAGCATGAAAATGGTCTTCTCTGTGGGCCTGGATACAAAACAATCCACTGCATTGGGGCATGGAGGTTGAGTGCATTTGTAGAGTGAGTGCATTTGAAACCCATAGAGAACATACTGGCCTATCATAAACCCTACTTCCAGCACAGATCTGGTCAAGATGTGTAAGACATAAGTTTGCAGTAGACATCCTTTCAGAGGAACTTTGTGGATCCTCTTCTGCTCCTCTAACCTCCTCAGTTGTCTATCTATCCTTTGTTGCTCCTCCAATTCAAGGCCTGGATTCTCCATGTGGGCTCTGAGGTGTGATTTTTGCATCTGCCTTTCCTTTTCAAAGGCCCTGAGTCTATAAAGGGCATGGCCCATGTACACCAGAGAGGGAGAGGACACGAAGATGATCTGTAAAACCCAGAACCTGATCAAAGAGATAGGGAAAGCATCATCATAACAGATGTTGTTGCAACCTGGCTGCTGGGTGTTGCAGGTAAATGCTGACTGTTCATCATCCCAGACATCTTCAGCAGCCACACCAAGTACCAGCATTCGGAAAATGAAGAGGATGGTCAGCCAGATTTTCCCCACTATGGTTGAGTGAGAGTGAACTTCCTCTAGAATGCCACCCAATAAGTTCCAGTCCCCCATGGTAAGAGATTAACGTCTGAAATATAAAAACACACACACATACACAAACATGGGTGCAATGCATAAAGACTCAGGCTCAGCAAAACAGCAAGTTCTTTTTTCATGTCAGTAAAACTATGAAAGGTTTTCCAGCCCTATTATTTGTAGCCTATGCTTGATGAAATAGGATAGTTCCAAGGAATATAAGATTTTTTTGGCGGTGGGAAGCTAAAGACTTCTCACAGTCTAATCCAATTTACTTCCTATCCTCTTCTCTCCTACACAAAATTGACTGTCATTTTAGCATATTCATTGGCCCTCATATTTCTACAATTCCACCTACTCCACAATTTTGCTCATTTTTCAACCTACCTGAGATGTCCCATTTACCATACATCCTACATGATCTTAAATAAGTCTTACTGTGGCACTGTACCTAAATTGAGTTGTGTGATGGTTGTGTCTTATGTCCCCTTTCCTGGAAAAGTGAACACTTTGCAGATAAAAAATATATATATGTAAGATATAAATACACAGAGGGACTTTCTATAGCATTTTTTTCTTTGCATACAGAAGGTATCAATAAATAATAGTGGATTGAATTATCTTTTCATTTTAAAACTTGGTTCTTCTCACTGGGATAATCATCAGCAGAAAAACAAAGGTCCTCATAGTATCCATGGCTCCCATTGCAAGACTAAAAGTACATGGAAAACAGAAATCAGCCAAAGAAACCCTCAGAAACTAGCATGGAATAACAATAAAGATTAACAAGGCACAGTAACAGTAACAATAAGACATATGGTTACATCCAAAAAGCATGTTTTCATGGAAACTTTGCTAACTCAAATGAAAAGTGAATAAAATTGGTTCTTTAGCAAGCCTGGGATCTGAAAAAGAATCAAGGCATAGCTGACATTAACAAGTTATTTGGTGTACCCCCCAAAATTAACATTTTTCAAGGTTCAATAAGGTTAAAATACTTGATAGGTTAAAGTCTTCTAAGATGTGGAAGACTTTCAAGTATAAAATATATGGAGGAAAAGCAGGAAAGTGTCATTAAGTTAAAATAAATAATGAAACAATTTGCTCCTTCCATAATTTATTCCCTGAATATTTACTAAAATCTTGCTAGAACCTATTAGATGCCAGGAAATTAAATAATGAACAAGATATACCTGGCCCAGCCCTCACAGTACTTAGCCACTTCCACTAACATATAAAATGGACAAATAGTGAAAAAAAAGCAAATGAGTATCAATTCAAAATTACAAGAGCAAAACAGAGTTTGTTCTTATATTATTAATTAATTATTATATTATTTTCCATATGAGCAACTGTAAGCCTACTTTTTCCCCACTCTGTATAAATTCCAGATGGAGTAAAGTATTAAATCTAAAAAAAGTAAACTGTGAAAGTATTAAAATAAAATATAAAAGAATGTGCCCTGGCTGCTGTGACTCAGTGGATTGAACACTGGCTTGTGAACCAAAGTGTTGCTGGTTTGATTCCCAACGTAGGGCACATGTCTGGGTTGTGGACCAGGTCCCCAGTGAGGGCTGCGCAAGATGCAACCACACACTGATGTTTCTCTCCCTCTTTTTCTCCCTCCCTTCCCCCCTCTAAAAATAAATAAACAAATTTTTTTAAAGAAATAAGACATTTTTTAGAAACTTTTTTAAAATATAAAAGAATGTTTTACAGTCTTGAAGTACAGGAAGGCTTTTCAAGCACATCAGTGACAGAAATTATAACTGGAAAAAATACATAGATTTTACCCAACAAAACTAAATGGCAGAAGTGGAGATGGCCATAAAAAAGAATGAAATCTTACCATTTGTGACAGCATGGATGGATCTAGAGGATATTATGCTAAGTGAAGTCAGTCAGACAGAGAAAGACAAATACCATATGATTTCATTTATATGCAGAATCTAAAGAACAAAATAAACCAACAAAGAGAAGAGAAACAGACTCAGAGGGAAGGGTTTGGGGGATTGAGTGAGAAAGGTAAAGGGATTCAGAAGTACAGATTGATAGTTACAAAATAGTCACAGGGATGTAAAGTACAGGATATGAAATATAGTCAATAATACTGTAACAACTATGTATCATTCCAGGTGGATATTTGAAATATTGGAGGGAGCACTTTGTAAGTTATGATTGTGTAAGCACTATGCTATACACCTGAAACTAATATGAAATAGTATTGAATGTCAACTGTAATTGAAAAATGAAAATCTTAAGTGGCAATGTTCATAAAGCATTTGGCTCTAGAGAACAACAAAAAGGTACAAACTAGAGATAAACATTCAAACATTTGTGAACAATCATTGAATAGGGAGATGAGATCACTCAGGGACTAGAAAGAAAAGCGAGACAATGACAGAAACCTGAGAAATAGCACAGGAAAAAAAGTCTACAAATGAAAATAAGAAATGGCCAAAGAGAGAAAGGAGGAAAACATGAGGGTCATGTCACTGAAACCAAAGCAGGACAGAGTTTCAAGGAGAGGACAGTGGACAATGCCAAATGCAGATACACATACCACTATTTAAATATATTAATGATGGGACATGCTATATTCAGGGATGCAAAACCTGAATTACTATTTGTAAAGATGCCAAATCTCCCCAAATCAGTCAATCCATAAATTCAATGTGAGACTGTATATCATTGAGTAAAACAAACTCATGCAAATGTACATAATTATGTATACATATATATGATGTATGTGCATATGATTACATGAACATGGAGGGAAAAGAACAGGACACACACCACGAAGTTAACACAGGCTACTGGAGTCTGTAGGAGGCGATGAGGAGGCGGGGCCGGGGGGAGTTTGGAGGAGGAAGGGGGAGGCAAAAAAAAGACCCTTCTTCTAAAGAAGCATGATTGATTTTTATCCAATTATATATTTATATAAATGTATACCTGTATATGCATACATTTATATAAACAATATTTAAAATAAAATTTAAAAAATAGATTCTCTCAGAATTTGAAGGGAGTATTAATGAGACTTTTATATTTTACTCTATGTATTCGTAAATTGCTTAAAATTCAAAAATTAACAATATAATCATATAAGGTACTCTCAAATAAAAATCAGATTTAAAATTCTGGACTCGTACCTCATTAACTGAAGCAAAAATTTACTAAGTTCTATCGTTTCTTATAGAGTTTAGTTCATTTCCCATAATCATTCACTTAAAAATTTCTGGCCATTATTCTTTGTTTAAAAATACCTTTAACATTAAAAAAATATCTAGAGCTTCTATTTTATATAAAACCCTAAGGTGGAAAAGCTAACTCATTTCATTAACTTATTCTGTACTTGACAGTCCTAAACTACATAATGCTTCTTTTTCACACTATATCCTTAAAAATGGAAATTATTACTTTTAAGCAGCAAGTAAAAGGAAACTAGGCCAACGTGAAAAACAGAAATACAATCATACATACTGACATGCAAAGGCTAGATCCTTTAGACAAATATTCCTGTTTATTAGCAATAACTACTTTTTAACATTAAATGACTACAGGTCCTTGAAATATCATTGAATTTTCTCCTAGTATCAAATACTAATTTAGCATCTCCTTTGTAAAAAAAAGCTGGTGCTTCTTTCCTAAATTTTATGTTACATCTTATCTTTCTATCCCCACAGGGATTTCCTATAGTTTTCATAAACAAGAAAACCCACATATTTATCACTTACCTTTTGGTGGACAAAAAAATATTTGGGCCCAAAGAACCTTAAAGTTGGACCATGTGTGGCTACTTAGCGGGACAAAGGCTGCTGGTTGCAGATATAAAGGCTCTGCTCAGCAGGCTGTGGGGCCCAATCCAGAATGAGCACAGTGATTTTGATCAATGGAGTCTAACCCAGTACTGTCCAGAGGTCAACATGTCCTTTGGTGCTTTACGATTCTTTTGTGTTATTTTTTTCTGACACCATGCTGGGGCCACTCCTGGCGTATCATATTTGGAAATGAAGAGCGAAACAAATGAGAGTATTCCTTTATTATTTATGAGTGATTACAGTGATTTGAATGAGAGCCCTTCCTTCAGTAGATTAATTGCTCTAGGAATTGATGGTACAGATCAATGGGTCATGTCCGATTTTGTCAGTAGCTGCCTGGGGTGAGTCGAGCTTCATCAAATGTGAACGAGTAATAATGGAGTGACAATCCATCCCAAAGTGTTCTTGCAAATCATGCTGTGCTGAAAAGAGAAACATCTCAAAAGAGATTAAGCATTTTTAGACCACTGAGAGCAAGCCTGAGCCTGTCTGTAGGTTGTGGGTTCTAGTGATATTTATTAGGCTGAAACAGACAGCTCAGGAAAATTTTTTTTCTTTCTCAGTAAAGAATCTCACAGTGAGAGAGACACAGAGGAGGTGACTCTCCCATAACTTCACAGTAATCACCTGAAATGTCCTGGTGAGGCAAGTGACCCTGGCACCGCACTGCTGCCGTCTCCCCACAGCCAGCCCACGGGCTCCGCAGGGGTTAACACCCTAAGGGATGAGAACCCCTGCCGAAGGGAACAAGTGTTTTCAACATTCATACTTTCACCCTTACAAAGTTATGTCGAATGTATAATAGAGTCACTGGCATGCCTAAGAACACTCAGAGAGGCAAGAGGGAGGCAAGAGGGAAAGTTTAGAGAGAATAACTGTCCCAGGATAGAGAGGCAAAAGATAAAGACGCACGTGGGTGCCAGTTCCACTAGCTGCCGCCTTCGGGCTAGTCAATGGCAACAGTGTTTACCCTGCCACTTCATTCACGTGGTGATAGAAAAGGCGGCAGCCGGTTTTCTGTAGAGCAGCTGTAAAACATTTAGGCCAGCATAATGATAAGGAAGAGAAAGTCATGTGTGCCACAGGGGAGCAACAGCACAAGAGGAAAGCTCATTTGTGTCAAGTCCCTCATCTCATCTGCTAAGGAGACTCTGAGGGACCTGCTCTGAGAAAACCCTGCTCTGAGAAAATAAGGGGTTTTCAGGAGAAATTAAG